CGGGGGCGGCGCGGGGTGGCTGCGAGGGTGAGCGGTGCGCGGGCGGGCGACCCCGGGCCGGGAGCTAGGAGTTCAGGCTGCGGGGACTGCGCGGGGCGGCTGCGGCAGAGCGTGCGAAGCCGGCCCAGGCAGCTCGCCGCGAGGCAGGACCCACGGGCCTCGAGGCCTCCTGGAGGCGAGTATGCGGCGGTCTCTCTTGCGCCGTTAGTTTGGCTTGGAAGGGCAGATTTTGCCAAAAATGTAGAACCTGGGGTCTTCGGCCCCCAACAGGCTATGGCACTCATATTTGCCCTGAGCAGGTTGGGAGATTGAGGCCCAGGATCGAAGTTCATCGCTCGCTCAGGGGATGAACCTAGCTCTGTCCTGCAGTGCGGTGGCACTAGGTTTTCTATTAGCTTCCCCGTTTTCTGAATGGGGATTTGTCTTGACTGCCGTGCGAAGTAGTATCCTCTTTGAGAGGGCTTTGGTGCTAGGCTGCCTGCTTTCGAATCCTGGCGCTGCCACTGTGTGCCTGCATCAGGTTTATTTAGCCTCACTGCTTTAGTGTCCCCATCTGTAGAATTGGCATGATATACCACTGATACGGTTTGTTGAAAAGATGCTGCACAGAGTAATGCCTGACAAATGTTAACTGTGATTGCTATTTAAAGATAGGAAGACTATCTTATCGACTTAAATCACCCCTCACCCCCATTTCTGGCACATCATAGGAGTTCAACAAATACTTGGTTTAGTGTTTAGTACAAAAAGCAAGTGTGACTTCTTCTGCATGTAAATGTGAGAAAATCAATACCAAGATATTTTATTTTTCAGTCTTTTTCAGGTTGTTTTACTTAAATTGACCCAAGACTTGGTAAACTTAATGCCACGGACTGCAGTTTTAAAGTATTATGTAAGGGATTTCAACCCGTAGGAGTTTACCATCTAATCTAAAAGGTTTCAGTCGAGCCATAGATTAAAAAAGAAGAAAGAAAGGGACTATAATCATGGAACTAACTGCCAATAACAGTTATTTTGTATGTCATTTTCAAACATCTTGACAGTAAACGAAGAGACTGAAATCTTTTAAAGGTGAGAATTAAGAGCTTTGATAATTTTTTAGAAGGAGGCCTTAGAACTAAGTGCTGCATTAGCTGTAGAAATAAGAATTTGTGGCTTTAAAATTGGCAAATTCCACGTGGAACTTTAGAAAAGTAGGGACTGGATTGGTTCCAGAGGTGTCTTTGAAGATCAGTTCTGTTTCAGATGTTCCAGTTGAATATCTGATTTTTTTAAAATAGCATATGGTGGGTGGAGTTAATGTGTTTTGTAGAACTGATTGTGTTTTCTTTCACTTGCAGAAAGTACTAGGTGGGGACAGTGCTGTGAGGGCCTTCCAGAGTACCACAACAGCATGTGCACCAGTATCACATTATCGGACTGTTAAAAGTTTGGATTCAAGTGAAGAAAGTTTTTCTGATTCAGATGATGATAGCTCTCTTTGGAAACGCAAGCGACAGAAATGTTTTAACCCTCCTCCCAAACCAGAACCTTTTCAGGTTGGCCAGAGCTGTCAGAAAGCACCTGTTGCTGGAGGAAAGAAGGTTAATAACATATGGGGTGCTGTGCTGCAGGAACAGAATCAAGATGCAGTGGCCACTGAACTTGGTATCTTGGGAATGGAAGGCACTATTGACAAAAGCAGGCAGTCTGAGACCTACAATTATTTGCTTGCTAAGAAACTTAAGAAGGAATCTCAAGAGTATACAAAAGAATTAGATAAAGAGCTAGGTGAATATATGCATGATGTCAAAAAAACAGAATCAAAGGAAGATGAAAATGGACAGGGTAATCTCAAACGGAAACGACCTGTCCGAGACAGAATAGGAATGAACTATAAAGGCCGATATGAGATCACAGAGGAAGATTCTCAAGAGAAAGTGGCTGATGAAATTTCTTTCAGGTTAGGATTTAAATTTGATCTACAAATGAGCACTTAATTAAAATGTTTTGTATTTGTAGGAAATAGACTCCTATAAAATTAATGATGATGTTCCTTTTTGATTTTTTTTTTTTATTTAAGGAACTAGCTCTGGGCTTATTTGGTTATATGACTATAGTTGTGTCTTCTCAAATTTGGACAGGCCTGATAGAATAATTTTGCAGATTTTTGTGAATTTGTAAGCAACTCAATTGCATTTAGTGCCATAAAGCATTTTAACAGTTCAAATTTTGATTAACTTTTCATTAATTCTAAGTCTCTAATGAACAGTGTCACAAATTTGAAAAAGATAGGGTTCAAGAGTAATATGGCCAGTAGGTAAACAAGTATTTAGTTTCCAGGCATGCCTGTCTGAACACTAGTATGGATTTTTAAAGTACTGTGCTGGGGAAATTTGAGATTCAAGTGCTGGAAAGGAATTTAGATATTTTAGAAAAGCAAATGTTATTAGCATAGGACTTTCGTTCTAGTTGGGGACTGAACTGGAGATTAAGGTAGATTTCTTCAACTTCGTACCACAAATAAAGAGGTTAATTTTACTTTGTTCTTTATCAGGTTACAGGAACCAAAGAAAGATCTGATAGCCCGAGTAGTAAGGATTATTGGGAACAAAAAGGCGATCGAACTTCTGATGGAAACTGCTGAAGTTGAACAAAATGGTGGCCTTTTTGTAATGGTACGACTACTTCACTATTTGTTTTTCTATTGTTTATCATGTAATTTTTTTTTTTTATACAAAATTAACTTGCCTCTGTTGGGTCTCTTATTTATCATACATTATTACAGCGTGTTTCAGATTTTTAAAAACTAAATAATAAAACAATAAAAAAATTCAGTACAGTCCTTTTTGCAATTCCTTACAAAAAACATAGATAAATGGTAGTCTGTTAGTGTACAGTCAGCAGCACATCTGTTAGATGATTCATTAAAGGTAGGGGCTGAAATTTTAAGACAACAGAGTTTGAGGGGAGCCTGGAAGCTCAGATTTTGAGAATATGGGTTTTGGAGTCTGGGTGCTTGTTTCAAGTTCTAGGTCTGCAACTTATTAACTGAGATTTGGCTAAATTATTTGACTCCTTGGAGCCTCAGTTTCCTCAGCTGTAAAATGGGAATTAATCCTTTGTTGTAAGGATTAGACAAGATGATATACATAAAGTATTTATCACGGTGCCCAGCTCTTAGCAATGGTGAACAGAAAAGTGTTACTTTTGGTTTACTTAATGCATTCTTGAAAAAGAGAGCAAAAAGTCTTATTCTTGTTATGTATAAAGTACAGATTATATATCTGTGTGTATTCAAATTTAATGGGTACTGATGTGAAAAGGGGGAAAAAAGTCTAAAAGGTCCTGGGGTGGGAGAGTGATGATGGGAAAAAAGGTTAAGAAACACTGTTTACTGTTTAAGAATGACAGAAAGAGCACTTCTCTGGCTGTGACCAGACCACAGGCAGTGGCAGTTGTCTTATAGAATGGATTTGCAGATCTCATTTAATTCAGCTTTTACCACAGGGTGAGAATGAAAGTTTGAATGGCTTTCTTACTTGTTACTCATGAATTTGAATGGTAACATCACAAGAGAGTAGATGGATAAGTATGCTGTGGAAATGGAGAGAAAGGAAACCAGTTAGAATTGATAGCAAAGGGGCTGGCTTGTTAATTCAGTTGGTTAGAGCATGCTGCTGTTAATAATCAAGGTCTAGAGTTGGATCCCTGTACTGGCCAGCTGCCAAAAAAGAAAAAAAAAAAAACTATTGGTAGCACTGGCTAAGGAAGCAGCCTGTGAATATAAATTCCAGAAGTCAAAACGGAGGTTAACAAAACAAATTATGATCATGAAATCACTGACATCCCTGTTTGTGTCAATGTTAAAATACTTTCATTTTATTTAACTGAACACAGTTGTAGATTCACCAATACTATGCTAATAAAACCTTATATCTGGTGAGCTAATACAAAACTACTGAATTTGGGAAGATGAAAGTCTAAATTCACTTTATTTTAATACATTCTTTCCTTGAACAATTATTTATTTATTGCCTGCTATGTACCAGGCACTATTCTAGAACAGGGAGCCTATGTTGTAGTTGGGGGTGAGAGGAAGTCACTCTATAAACAGAAAATACAGTAACTTCAAATATGTTAGAAAGTGGTGTATCCTATGGGAAAAGAAATAGATCAAATGGAGGGTACAGGGAGTATAGGAGAGGAGGACCTTGCAATTATTAAGAAGGTGACATTTGAACAAAGACTTGAAGAAGGTAAAGCAGTGAGTACTGCAGGAAGAACAGGCCAGGCACAAGCAACAGCCATTGTAGGAGAAAAGGGTGCCTGGCAGGGCCATACTAGGGTGAAGTGAGCAGTTTACTTGCTTCAGGTACAAAATTTGAGGGGATGCTGAGAAAACTAAATAATGAGGATAAATAATATTTGATGCAACATTTTCAAAAATTGAAATTGGTGCAAAAACTCCATAATGGACAGAATTTTAAATAAAGATAGGTTCCAACCATGTACTTGCAAGACTCCACTCTCTATTTTCACCCCAGTCTCTGTCTAGTGCCTGGTGTGAACAAGGGGCCCGTGTGGCTAGTGCAGAGTACTTCAGAGAGAATGTAGGATCTAAGGTCAGAGGTAATGTAAGGTCAGATCTAGGGGGGG